CATAGAGAACATATTTTTCAAAATTACTGTTCTCAAAAAAATTTTTATAGAGAACATCTTAAATTTTTAAATGTTCTTAAATTTAAAACAATGTTCTCATGAGAACATGAGAACATAAGATTTCCAATACTGCTGTTTACTGCAATTTTGTAAAATTTGCTTTTAGATATTCTCGCAAATTTCCATCATTGGCATATTATAAAACCATGTTATAATATCAGTTATTATCTATTTAATAGTATTAAATATTCTAAATAGTTAATAGTAATTTTATACAAATTTAGAACTTTTAAATTGTATATATACCTTTCGTAACTTTGTAGAACTTAATAATATTAGGATAGTAATCAATTTTTCATAATAGTTTAAGCTTTTATTTCAGATTATTATTCAAGAAATTTAGAATTACCCCAGAAAATAATGTAAGTAGTAATGTAATAAAATACCTTCTTGACAAAATCTTTAATAATTTTTTATCTAAATCTACATCAACTTCAAGTTTAAAGCATTTAAGAGCAACTATTAAATCACAAATTTTCTACTTGCATAATATCAATCATTGTGGGCTTCCTTGAAAAATAGCTTTTTCAAACCATTTCTTCAGTGTTTTTTTTCGCCATGATTTTTGTATACTGAAAAAATGTATAATGTGATATAGATTTATTTATACTTACTATGTGATATAGCTATGTGACACAATATTTAGTTCAAGATTATATAATAGTGCTGTGATCTAGAATATGTAGTCATTATTATCTTGATAGTCCTCACTAGAGGTATTGTCACAATTAGGTTGTAAACTAATTACCTTAATAAAAATAATATTTTTAAAATTTTTGTAACTAGTTATGAAAATATGTCTGCACCTCTAGTCCAGATGTTCTTTTGAGCTCATTTATGTTAAGATTCCAAATGAAATAAAGAAAATTTTCCTTCACATTAAAAATCAAAAAAAAAAACAATTAGTATGAATAAAAGAAAATAAGATAATTAGTGTAATTAATATAAATGAAAAAAGAAATAAAGAAAACAAATAAAAAAAACTAAAAAAAGTGAATTAAAGAATAAAGAAAAATAAAAAGAAAACTATTTTTGTAATTAATATATGTGATGGCTAATGCTAAAGTTTGGCTGATGTTGAAGCTAAAAAATCTGATTGGTTAGGGTTAGGGTGATCTGCAAAATTTAGCCAACCAGATTTTTTAGCTTCAACATCAGCCAAACTTCAGTATCAGCCGTAACAATATATATAAAAAAATTAAAAAGTTTTGAAAAAAATTTTTTAATTATTAAATTGTACATATGAGTAGATTCAAGTTTCTTTGTTTTGAATTTTTTGTCTTGGTTAGTATTTTCTGTTTGTAAAAATATGACTGTTTAAATTTATTATAATAATATACAAATATAGTCACCAATTCATGATCAAAATATTTTATAGAACAATATTATATCACATTTGTATAACAGCAAATTCGGGAGATATTTGAATTATAAAATACACTTATATGACAATATATATATAGATTTTTGTATAACTAGAATAATATTATTTAAGGCTAAACTTTTAGTCATCATTTATAATCAGTTAATCTAAATTTTATTATAGCACTACAAGAGAAAAAGACAACCAAATCTAAAATATCAAAAAAATCTAAAAACTTTTTAGATAATGATGAAGCATCTTCAAGCAATACAGTCAAAAAAAGGGTGAAAAACTCTACAGAAGACTCAAAAGAAGATGAAGTTAGAGATGTTCTATAGAATAGGTGAGCAAAATAAGAAATAAGCTTTGCTAATGATTAGTAATCATTAATTTTTTAATTGCAGAGTTGCGGAGTTTACAAAGTTTGCTCATCTATTTTATAGAACATCCAAAGTTAGTATTGAAATTCATAAAAAAAGAAAGATTGGAGAATTACAGTTAGAAGAACATTTTATCAATTACACTAT